TGGTTGGAACTTTTATGCCTTCTAAAATGCATAATGTGCATAGGTCAAGAGTTCAGGATGTTCTGTCTAGTTTCACATGTCTGATAAGACATTATTGAGACATACATCCTTTCCATCAAACCAAATTATAGCCAATTTAGCATTTTTTATCAATGGTAAGCTTAATAGAGGTAGGTGAGGTAAAAGTGAGGCCTGTCACGGCCACTTAGACAGTAGATCTGTCAACAATGTATACATTTGTATAATGAAATAAAAAATATTGTATTATTTAAATACATTAAAATGATAAAATTCGGGCCACAATGTTCAGGGTATCTTATGCCATGAATCACTCTGTACAAATGGATTGTGGTATTAATACTAAAAATGAAAACATGTCATCACCTAGTTTTCTGCTATGCACTGCTCATACCACAAGGTGGAACCGTAACAACCACAATGGTTCCGGGCAGCTACCCACAATAAATGATCTCATTTTAGGAAAAGCTGAGCAAAGCAACCACTCATTTAACAAGGTGGACAGCTATTTGCAAATATACTGTGTGTGAGTATACAATAATTAACAAATAGGCATATTAAGCAACTAACACACTTAGATGTAATGTGAATGCATTGAACTACAATTATCTTACAATGATAAATGATGTAGAGAAAGCACATTTAATGTGTGTTAGTCAAATTAAGCAGCACAGGCTATGCAGCGTACAGCATTGCTCAAACAATTAGAGGGACCCATTAGCAGTATTAGTTAGTAATGACATAAAAATAAGCAAGCATAATCTTTTAAAGGGATTCAATTAACAGTACATTCAACTGTATGTGTGGCTTAGTATTAACAGTTCAGTGGGTGCACACAACAGTGAAAAAACAATGGTGGTAACACCCTGTTGTGTACCTGAGCTGACCACATAAAACATGTTTCACAAACGACGCCATTGTGAAGCAACAGTATAATGTTTTGCTTCTACAGGACGGAGTATAGATACAATGGAGACCCATATTAATAAATATTAATACAATTGTCGTGAACTTTTTTTTAAATAACTTAAATGGTATGATTATCAAATGTGACTGAATGTGATACAAGTTATTAAACGAAGATAGTTGACATATCAGCTCCCCTATTAACAATACTGGTTCATATATAAATAAGTGCTAATTATAAAACTCATCAACTGTAAATATTTTTTCTTGATTTTTTTTAACCGACCATTACAGGACATAGTTATTGCCACAAGAGAAACGCCCAATGGGTGTGCCTCCAACATATTAAACTACAAATACTGAACTAAAATGTTGTTTTTGCTTATACAACTTCTTGGCAGTATCTGAATAAAGCCAAATATGAAGCCCTAATGCAGATACTTTTAAAATATCTAGCCAAGCAGAGGAGGCACATTTTTTCATTAATTAGATATTTGCATATGTTTATATATGTAAATGTATGTATATGTTAGGCTGTAAACCTTTGCTGCACTGCCATAGATACAGTGAAGACAGATTAAATCCCTCTCATTATAAACATTTTACCTTTCTGACATTCAAATACAATATTAAGTAAAAATAAAAATCTGCATTTAAACCCATAACATCACTTTACCCCACAATCAAGATGCAAATGTCTTGCTATTATTACTATGATAATTATTACAGCAAGGCCACAATAAATATTTGTAAATTAAAGGTCCCATCATATGCTTTTCTGGTTATTACCCGTCCCCTTGTGTGTTATGTAGCTTTTTCTGCATGTAAACGGTCTGCAAAGTCACAAACCCTCAAAGTACACCCTGTAGCGAGTAAAACTCTAACACAGAAAAGACGTGTCTATGCGGCCCCAGAACGCCTCGTTGGAGATTTTTCTTTTTCCATTTTTTTCTTCCGGGGCCTATTTACGTTAAGTCCAAATGGACCAATTGGCACACAGCTATAGAACAATAGGCACACCCTCTGCCAGGGTGGACTCCCGAGCAGTTTAGGAGTCCGCCCCGCGAGGCTCCAGGAGCGGACAGTGTGAGGTGGATTTTCCACTCTGTTTCCCTGGATGCTGGATATAGACCAAATGCCGTGCCGGCGGGACACCGCGGTGCCCAGGCTGAGCTCCGCAGTGTCTGCTGGCATGGCACGCAGACCCCACGCAGCAACCAGGAAACGACACCAGTAATCCACCTCACACTGTCCGCTCCTCGAGCCCCACAGGGCGGACCAGCGAGCCCCGCAACGTCCCGCCAACACAGCACCCAGACCCCACGCAGCATTCTCTTCTGTTTGTCATTACTGCTGTCATTTTCTGGTTGCTAACGCCATTGTAAAACATAAACACTGATGTTCAGCTGTAACGGTGGTTGACTTACCAGAACAGAGTGGGCGAGCTGACCAATCAGAGCACAGTGGGCTCATAGGGAGGGGGGGGGGCCGGAGCTCCAACAAGGCGTGTAGGACAGAGTGTGAATACACATACTATACAGAGATGCTGTATGAGAAAACCAATGTGATTTTGGAACATTGAACAATGTAAATCTATTCTAGTAGACCTCAACAATGCAATTATGATCAGTAGAAATGGCCAAGACATGGGACCTTTAACATTAAACCAATCAAAAGGTATAGACTGAAACTTTCATTGTATTTAATAAAAACTTAAAGGTGGGGTAGGTAAGTTTGAGAAACTGGCTCGAGATACACTTTTTGTTATATTCCATGGAATGCTTTTAACATCCCGATAGCAATGAATATCTTAAGTGCTTTGACAAAAAATCCATAAAAAAATGTCATCTGTGGAAGCCGTAATACTGTAAAAAGTACGACCATTAGCCGGCCCGGCTAAAATAACTGGATGGCCTACCTGCCTGTCAGCTTTCCATCGGGGCACAAACTTATCTCGTGCCCTCATTGGTCATGTGTGCATTCGTGTGTGTTGGAGGAGGGGCTCTGTAAGGAAGTGGCAGATTTTCTCCGGTTGTGTATTTTCAAATTCTAGCAATCTCGAGCCGGTTTCTCAAACTTACCTACCCCACCTTTAAGTGCAGTATAATCACATTACTACTCTAAACTTTAACAATATTGTCTTTGTTGCACCCAGGCCAATCATGCATATTGAGTCAAACTGATTTGCAGAATTTTAATTAAGGTAGTAAAGTGAGAAAAAAAACTTAAGTTAAGAACAGAAAAGAGAAAGGACCAACGAACCATGTCTTGAACATTCACTGCATCCAAAGTTATGGCATGGTGCATCACACTGAACAGCCTTGTATCTTTTGAAGCATATCTCCTTTAATAGAGCAAGTCTGGTCAGGATACATCAATTAATGGGAAACTGTTTCTAGATGAAGATAAAGAGACAGAAGTCTTTGAGTATGATTTAGATCTGTGTAGATGAGTTACCAAGGTTAATAATTTCAACACTGTACTGGGTCTTTATTGAGTTTTAGTTTTGAATCAGAGCATTGTTTATGTGTTTGAGTAGGCTATTCAGCCATTTGAGGAAATGTTTCGAAGAGAATATAAATGTGTCATGGAAATGGCCAAAAGCAGTTTGTAGGCCTCCTTTAATGTTAAACTGTAAAACCATCTGCACCAGGTAACCTGTTAGCAACAGAAATGGTGCTTTTTTCCAACTCTAATTCTCTGGGCTAGCTTGTTGTTGAAACAAATCTTAAATAAAAGAAGGACGCCACTATACTGAAAAGGATTGATGTCTTCAACGGTATTATTTTTAATCAAAAACATTTACAGGTACGTTGAGGTCAAGAAAAATATATTATCGACCTGGATTTGAATCTGGATGAATACTGAGAAGAACCCAGAGGCATCGTGCTCAGTGGTGGATGGATAATCCCCAGTCTGGAAGCAGTCCACGACCACGACACTGCATTGACAGCTTCTTCTGGAGCTCTTGGAAACTAAAGTATTAGTGTTTGGAAATGTCACTAGAAGATAATATCTGCTTAAACTTCAGAGCTAGCTTTACAGGTTGCACTTTTAAAGAGGCTCTATGTAGCGTCCATGGGTAGGCCACATCATGGCATCATGACGCAATATTTTGTTTTTATTCATTTCATTTGAGTATGCCCGTTCTGCACAACCCTCCAAATATTTTGCACATTTGTACACAAGCTACCTCTCATCCACTTCCATAACAATAATGCACATATTTGATTTGATTATTCCAAGAACTTAGCATTAGTAAACCGCACAAAGTTTTTTGGTATATCCAGATTTCATGTAAATAATTTTGTATATCTTAACGTATAATAGTTTCAATTGTATTATTTTATTTTTTGGTTGTTTTTCTTACTTACTAAGAATATTCAGAGAGGGGAGCTTTCCTCCAGAAGAAGCTGTCAATGCAGAGTCGTGGACTGCTTCCGGAGTGGGGATTATCCATCCACCACTGAGCACGATGCCTCTGGGTTCTGCTCAGTATTCATCCAGATTCAGATCCAGGTCTATCATTTTTCATGGACGTACCTGTAAATGTATTTGATAAAAAATAAAGACATTCAAGACATCAATTATTTGTAGGATATGGCTTCCAGTTCCTCCTTATATTTACTTGTTTCACTTATTTTTCACAATGCTCCCACTTACCTTTTTATACTTGAATTGTGTAATTATTTTTATTTTAAATGTTTATTATGTCTGCATACTTTACTAAATAATGTTCACTTAACCATATAGGCTGTTTTTTGTTGTTGTCTTAAACGGTAGCCTACTGTCTCGTAAATGTCCCCTCTGTGAGACTAATAAAGGAATGGGATTCAGATTATGATATGTTGATGTTGTGTTTACAGCTCGTGCTGGAGGAGAGCAAAACAACAAATCATTGAATGAGATGTTTCCTTTGTTCTTTTGGCCTGAACAAGCTTCCATACGCTACTGGTAAAACAGAAGTCGGTTTCGGGGAAATTGCGTATGAGAGGAAGCATTTACAGAAGCAAAACAGACCCCTCCCAAAATGTTATGCTATGGCATGTTAAATCGGTGTTTTATTCTGAAGGCGTTGGCCGGAAAGTCCGCTGTGTTTTACATTTTGGGACTGGATTACGGGGGGTGCTCGGCAGTGAGGGAGGGAGGAGTTGGGTGTTGCCTCTGTCTCTGAGCCCTAGTACGGATTCCCAGTCGAGATTCAGCCCGTTACACGCCGCGACACCTGGCCTGCTACTGCCGCTGTCCTGTGAACTCAGTACCCGAAAATACCCGACTAACGGACCACCATGGGAGTCGAAGGCTGCACAAAATGCATCAAGTACATGCTTTTCTTGTTCAACTTCATCTTCTGGGTAAGCAAACATTGTTTTTTACAATCCATATTGCGTTTATTTCGCTACGCATCACCGCCTCCTCGCGCTGGTTAGCGGGTATGGTTTGTTTAGGCAGCCCGCCCATTATGAATGGATAAACCAACAACAGCCCCGCTACATCTCACATTTAGTCACCGTTATACCTTATGAATAACCAGCCACGCCTTTTCACCACTAGGGGAGAGTATGGCAAAAGGATGGCAACACGATAAATTGCTAGAAAAGGCATGTTTGGTTGGTATAACACACATTTGCTAGTTGGTGGATATAATCGTTTATAGGCTACACCATACGAATTAGAGTCACCTCATGTGAAAAAAAAAAGCTCCAAAAAAACAATTTCACTCGAGAATTTTAGTTTGTTTTGACGCAAAACACATATTTCTACCAATTGGATCAATATTTAGTTCACTATGAGAGGCTTTAATACTATAGGGTCTCATTAAAAGTTCTAGTTTGTGTATCTGCTGTGAGGCGGGCGGTAGTGGAGACTACCTCGCTTTGGTTTGGAGAATGGCTTTGTTTGGATTACATCCTCCACCCAATCTGGGAGTGTGTGTGTGTGTGTGTGGAGGGGGGACTCATGGTGGTTTCCATTTGATGAGTCAAGGCCCTGTGTTGGGTGATGGATCATGGAAACATTTGTGGGAGTTTAGTTTTTACTCTCCTTGTGGAAGAGTGGCAGAGTTTGTTCCGCAAAAAGCCTTTTCACTTATTTCCCTTTGGTACTTTCTTTTTTATTAATAATCAGCATTCATAGCCTAAAAATATGAACCTATATTTTGTTAACTTATATGTGTGGAGCTAAGTGTCAAGCAAGCTGATTGGTTGATCTAACTCAGTTCAGGGGACAGATGTGTTGCCAAGAAGAAAACTGAAAGAGTTTAAACTGTGTCGGGGGCTGCATGTCGGGGGCGTGTTTGTGTTGTCAATGAAATATGATCATGGAATTCCAGTTGGAGTAACCCATTCAGGCCAAATACCCCAAAACAATGTTTTTAATAATCTAATACAGGATTTGAAGGCAACTATTTAATTTGTTTTGCAATGTTTGCATGGTAAACAGTATAGCCATTTCTGTTCAAATTAAAAAATCTTCAAGCAATTTGGGCTTGGATTGGCAAACAGAAAATAATATCTACTTAATTTAACAAAAAATCCATCAGGCAAAAAAAAATGAATGGTGCTGCAAGTCAGTAAGATTGATCATCTGGGGAACATGGCTGTATTTAACTCAATTTAGTAGCAAAAACCCTATAATTATTATATTTTTCTATCTGGCTGGACAATATGGACGAAAATGCTATCACAATATGTATAAAATAATAATAATAATAACAACAACAATGTGTATTAAGATTTGTTGTGATTATATATTTTTCTTTCACTTTTGCATTTATTAAAGGTGGGGTAGGTAAGTTTGAGAAACCGGCTCGAGATACACTTTTTGTTATATTCCATGGAATGCTCTTAACATCCCGATAGCAATGAATATCTTAAGTGCTTTGACAAAAAATCCATTAAAAAAATGTCATCTGTGGAAGCCGTAGTACTGTAAAAAGCACGACCAATCATTTTAGCCGGCCCGGCTAAAATAACTGGATGGCCTACCTGCCTGTCAGCCTTCCATCTGTGCACAAACTTATCTCGTGCCCTCATTGGTCATGTGCGCGTTCATGTGTGTTGTAGGAGGGGCTCTGTAAGGAAGTGGCAGATTTCCAGGCATCTCAGGATTCAAAAGTTGAGCAATGTTCAACTTTTGAAGCTGAGGTGGAAGCGTCAGCCAATCAAATCCCGTTTATGCAAATCTGACAGTTCAAGCGCTAGCCAATCAAACCGCGTGTATGCTGGGAGAGACATGCCGCAGGTCATTTCCTCATATTCCAAAAAATGGAGGAGAAATTAATTATAGCGGTAGGGAATCACCCGGTGCTTTATGACCAGTCCCTATTTACCTACCGGGATACAAACCGGAGGAGCCAGGCATGGAGGGAGGTGGCAGAGACAGTGGTAGGTTTTTGCCTGTTTGGGGAGTTTATATCCAGTTTACTTCGGGCTTTTTTGCTTTGTATGTCGGGGGCGGGAGATTCATGTGATTGGTTGTTGGTCGCGTTGCTCGCAAAAAAATCCCCAAGCTTCAGATATGCCCACCTCCAAGATTTTTTTAACGCTGCTGTGTGGATGCTCCGTTAGGGTTGATAACATACGCACAGTATAAAACACTTATTATCTGCCATATAACTGCTAAACCTTAATTTTTTAAGGGTTAGCCCTATGCTAACTTGAATCAGGATAAAACTACTAAATATAGCAGCTCTATCTAATAAAACGTTATAAGACCCAACCAATCAAATTCGGATGAATCTAGTCATTATGCAGGGGTTCCTTTAGATACAAATATATTTGTTCCTTTAGTAGCCACAACAATTGCAACAGAGTAAGCTGTGAGCTCACAGCTTTGTGGCTGTTTGTCTATTGCTTTTATAAGAGGAGGAAAATGTATTATAAAAAAACACCTTAGATTTTTGTGTTGTTTTATAGCCCAGCCCTAGTGCAGACATTCCACAGCATAAACACATCAGCATGATTCAAACAGTGGACCAGGACCTAAAGCAATTAAAAAGTTGAATAAGGGGTCAGAGAAGGTGATTTTATGAACTGGCTATAACTTATTTTTGGATAATTTGCTTTGGCTTTAACTTCCACACTAAAGCAGGAGCAGTAGTGATGGAAATTCCGGCTCTTTTCAGTGAGCCGGATCATTTGGCTCGGCTCACCAAGAAGAGCCGGCTCTTTCGGCTCCCAAACGGCTCTTCAGTTTACCACATATACCTTTTATAATTCAATCAAATTGAACCCTGTTTTGACAAATGATTTATATGTGTACACATATACCACTTAAATTATTCAATACATCTTTTGTACTGAAGTATACAAAAGTAAAAATTACATTTTTAATATAAATGATTTGCTGTGGCCAATTGTTTTCATTGCATTTACTGACCCTTGTAACTCTCTGATACCACCCAATGAATGCACTGACTTGCTTGTAGAACCACACTACACAAAGCAGATAACAACACCTATAAAAACTTTAGCATAGACATTTTTAAAAAGGACAGCTACTGTATCGACATTTTTAAATTGTATTTAAAGAAAAAGCCCTGACAAAACAGCAGGGCTCTATTTCAGTATTAACTAAAGAAAAAAAGACAGCAACAGCTGACATCAAATCTTTGCTAAGGATAATCATAAATAAATAACATAGTGAAAATAAATATATTGCAATGCTCAAAACAGCAGCATCCAACCGTCTCTAATCCTTGGATATTACATGTCACTGCATGCATGCACGGAGCACCATATCGCAGAGATCATCGCGATATCTCCGCAGCCCAGTGTCGCCCATTAATCTATCACACACACGCTAGTGGAGAGAGTTTTAAAGTCTGCCAGTCAAGTTTTTTTGTTCCAGGTTAAACCCCCCTGCATTGTGGAAATATTTAAGACACTTTTTTCACTAGTGTGTTCCAGTTAGACATGCGTAACACTTGCTTTCTTCTACGAAACATTTGAAAATTGTCTAACTAACAGTCCAAAACTTAAAGATATGAATTGCACTAGTGACTAGATGATGATGTTAAATTGACTTTTTTTGTTTGAGATACTGACAAATCGCCACATTTTTCCCCAACAGTATTGGATTCAAATGTCTATTTATTTGATCTTGATTTACATTTATTTGTACATACTTTATATAGCCTAATCTCATACTAAGACATTTAAATCCACATTCTATTGTGGATACTATATTCTATTTGTATACATACAGTTACAATGTCATGGCCTGCTCCGTATAAGGCAACATGTCAATAAGATATGATTGAAAAGCTTTAGCTGGAACAAAATTGAAACGTTTTTAAAGTTTCATATTGGTATTGGTTGACACTAGGGATGTGCATCTCCATCACTGAGGCCGATGCGATGCGCATCTCGATATGTTGCCAACGATACGATACATTAACGATACATTTGAAACACCAGGCGATGCGATACGATACGATTCACCCCTGTTGCGATACAGTTCGATACGATTTGATTCAACATTATGCGATTCGGGGCGATGCGATTCAACACGATGCAAAATAATGATACTTCAATATGGTACAAAAAAGGATTTTGTTTTATTCCTTATATGCAGCAAATCATAAATTAACAAAAAAGTGCTTTACATATTTGGTTCTCTCTACTAGTACTGCAAATCCCATTATGCTGTTTCTTTTTACCTTAAAAAAACAAAACACTTGGACCTTTCACAGACTGGCCTTTTCACAAGTCCTTTGTAGTAGTGTTCTCTGTCTCCAGAGTAAAGTACAATTGTATAACACCTCACAGTTAAACAATCTAAGGATGCATTGCCCATGATTAACAATGTGCAAATAACAACTACCGTAGTGCAATGCCCATACAACTGCCAGCCTGATGTGCTTAACACTCATCCATAGGCTAACTCACCAGTGAGCAGAAAGCAGTGGTGTGGTTTCTATATGAACTAAAGCCGTGTTCACACCGGAGTACTTTTCCCCCTACTTTTCCCCTTTAGTTCCGTTAGTACCCCTTATGTTGCGTTCACACCATTTTTAGTGCCTGCTAGAGAGGTGGTACTTTCCTGGGGGGGATCCGGCCGGGGACTTCGGGCGGCAGTATACGCCGTGAAGTTGTTTGCAGCCTGCCAGTAAACCCAAAGCAGAAGAAGACGAAAGTGACGTCAGCGGCTCATTTGCGTAATCTTCCCTCAGGGAAAAGTACTCCGGTGTGAACGCGATTGGTACTTAGTGCCCTGGGGTAATAAGTGCGGGGACACTAATTGCCGGCACTAAGTACTGCAAAGTACGCGGTGTGAACGCGGCTAATAACAAATACAAATAACCTTTCACAAACAGGTATTTCATAACTGCTTACAATTGTAAGGAAGACAT